AAAAAAAAAAAACATCGAATCGAAAATTAATTTGATAATCTTTTTCTCTCTCTCTGCACGAAACTAATTGGCCAAATACACAACACACAGAAAAAATTACTTTGATTGCACTGAAAAAAATAAAGCAATTTGTAATCAACCAGAGCAACGTTTTCTTTTTGTTTTTCTACTGTAATCGTAGTATTTGTCACGGGTGGCGTTTCTTTTTTTGTTTTTTTCGTTCTGTATTTCACTTTTCTTTGTTATATTGGTCACATGTAAGTACTATTTCCTAGATTAGAGCTTCACGACTCACACTTTTCCATCGAATCCATTTCTCTCTTTCTGATCATTCGAATCCATAAGTCAGCAAAGCAATCACCTTTGCACCAGCAAACAAAATTTTTCATAAACATTTACCAAACAAAACAAAAAAGTGATTCCATTTTTGTTTAATACATAACCTTAATTATATTTTTGACGTAACGAGTCATTAAATGGAATCGCTTTTTGTCACGAAATAAATAACCAGTTGCTATAGTAACAGAAACATGTAAGCCTATCATCCATCTAGTACTAATATCATGATGCAATTGCAATTGTTTCAACAAACAATTGCAATTCCTGTGTACATATTGTACAATTTTAGTTTTTTTTTTGTGTATTAGCGACAAAAACTCGATTTGTTGTTTCGTTTTTAAAGATTTTGTTTTCCTCATGATTTTTCTTCTGCTTAGGTCCATAACGAGAGACACCATTCCGGAGGAGAATTACGGCAACGGAGGTGCGAGAAGGCCGTCCTGGCTGCCGCCCGTACGACAAACGCCTAGGTTACAAGTGAGGCGGCAGCAGACCCTAGGCCCGGCGCTTATATCCGCCGCATCGTCAGCGACATCCGACGACAGTTCCGAGAACGAAGACATGGATTGCCTGATGAAACCGAACGGCAACTTCTGAAACACAGCCGCCTCCTGAGCCTTACCCAAACCTCCACAAACTAAAACAAAACACACACCTTCTCCTCCATTAGCAGAATTTACCACACAACCTACTCTCCAGCATAGTGTACTTAAGAAAAAGAAGAAGTAATTAATCAAAGGACTTTAATACTTTACGTTTAGGGTTTTTTTTTTGTATCTACATAAGTTAACTTTCATCCTATCAATTTAGTCCTTATTTTTTACGTAATTATTGTTATATTTAAGGCGATTTAAGCAATTCGAGTTTTAATTTAATTGAAAACAAAAGTAATCATTTAAAGACAAAGTATTACAGAAGAAAGAAAACAAAAACAAAAGAAAACAGAAGTCTCGAGACGGAAAAGCGAAACAAGTCAATATTAAATAATTTTAACAAAAAAAAAAAGTAAAGAAAAGAAACAAATATTTATATATATTTATGTATAATTAAAATAAGCGAATGAAATGAAGAAGGGAATGATTTGAATACGAGCACAAAAAAAAAGATGGCGCTGTAACAAGAGCGCGCAGTAACAAAAGCGTCAAATGTGTGCAGCCTTTTGTTATGCGCGCTTTTGTCGGATCACCAGAAAACACACACATAAACGAGTGTGAGCGAAAGTAAAAATTAAAAAAAAAAACATTAAATTATCTGTGATTGTTGATTGATTCAATCTGAGGGAATATTTTGTGGAACAAAGCAAATATTTAAAAAAGTTTTGCTTGATTTATTATTTTTTTTCTTTTCGTGTTTTCTCGAGATAGACTTTAGAAGGGATTTGTAAAGAAGTAAAGAATCGTCCAAAAAAAAAAAATTAAAAAAAAAAAAAAAAAAAAAAAAAAAAAAAAAACACGTAGTGAATCTTAGCCGAAGCGATGGTAATTATTAATCAAATTCGCTGATCCTAGTTAATTGTTCGGATTAGTTGGCTTTGTACACGTAAAAGAAGAAGAAGAAAAAGACGACGAGAAACTTCTAATTTGTATCGCGTTTCGTTTCATTATTATTATTATTATTATTATCATTATAAAATTTTGTTTCTTTTGTTTTTTTTTTTTTTAATTGAAATCACACAGAGTGGACTTAGGGAGGAATTCGAGCCTCCTTTAGAGAGATTATTATGAATTGTGTAAAAAAATAATTAATTAATTATTAATTAATAAAATAATATTTATGTATTTAGTAGAATTTACAACGACTTTTTAAAGAGATCATTATATATATATAAAAAAAAAACAATGTACATATTGTACTGCAATCGCTTTAGAGATCGCTTCTAAATTGAACTGTAAATGAGTTGATTCATTTTGTTGATCAATCAACCTCGCGTGATTCCAGCAAAACAAAAGAAAACTGAAGAAGGAAACAAAAAACAAGAAATATTTAACACTTGATCTAGACGTCTGGGTGTTTGTTGAAACAAAATTGAAAGAAACAACTAAGAGAGAATAAATGAAGAAAAAAATAAATAATTGTGCCTCATTGATACAAGACCTGATAGTTTAATTATATTATTGATAATCGATGCGATTGTGAAGACGTTCTTGATGAAGCTTCTTTGTTGAGCTTACACCAATTAATTGTGAAAAACCACAATTTTTCTCTCTTTCTCTCTCTATATCTCTTTTCACCAAGAAATGGTTATTTTTTTTGTTTTATTTCCGTTCTGATAGGCTATCAAAATATAAACTAAAAAAAAATTTGTACATAAATAAATTTGTAGTAATTGTAATTTTTACAGCCCGACAATATATTTGAAACTGTTGTAATAAAATGTGTTTGATGTTGATGATGAAGAATGGATGAATGAGAAGAACAAGACACGTAAATTGTAAATTGGAAAAATGAAGAGAAATATTGTGTGAAATAAATAAACAGAACAAAGATAACAATAGAAGCAGCAGCAACAACAAACAACAAAGAAAAAAAACTTGTTACTATTATGAAAAAAAAATGTAATTAAATAAAAAGTCACGAAAAAAAAATCGATTGTCGTTTTATTAACTCCTTCTTTGTTTATGCGTGGATGTACCTCAAGGAATTGTACTTTGTCCTATAAATTTCGAAAATTTACAAAACAAACTTTTTTTTTTTTTTCAAACGCCAACATTTTCAGGAAAGTTTCTCAAAAAAATGAATTCATTTGGGAATATTCGTAATAATATTCGTAACTAATATTTGTAATTAGAAAATCTACTAGTAGTAAAAAATCTACTTAAAAATAACTATGTAATCGTGAATTTTAAATCAAGTCGCTGTGTTTATGGGAAATGACGAATCGCAGTTGCTTTGAACGTTCATACAATCCTCATTGGGTCACAAAAAGAGTGATTTTCGAACGCTAGATGAGAAAGCAATAAAAATGTAGTTGCAGCTGCAAAAACGCTTCAAAAAGGGATCGGCTTTTTACGTTCTTAACAATTCTATTGGTGGCTCATAACTAAACATGTTTTTTTGTTAACCCATACAATTTTCTTTTATATAAATCTAAACCAATCGACATACGGGTACGAAAATTTGGGCGTTTTGTTTCAAATTACTTTATATATTAAAACATGATGTGAATTTTACAAGTAACTTGCCAAGTAACAAGCACACTCGATAATAGAGTAATGAAATTTAAGCAATTGTTTTATAAGAAAACTTTGTTCAACTTCGTCACAACTGCGCATGTTTAAACAATTGTTATGTGGACATTAAAACAATGTGTTTCGCACACTCGATAAGTTAGTAATGAAATTTAAGCAATTGTTTTATAAGTTGACTTATTTAGGCAAGAAAAATTTGTTCAACTTTGTCACAGCTGCGCATGTTTAAACAATTGTTATGTGGACACTAGAACAATGCGTTTCGCACACTCGATAAGTGAGTAATGTAATTTAAGCAATTGTTTTAAAAATTGCTTTATTTGGGCAAGAAAACTTTGTTCATCTTCGTCACAACTGCGCATGTTTAA